GCTGGATTAAAAAGTATGAATATACACATTTTTCTTCTAATGAATACTATCAAATTGTCAGATAAGATGGTTGGATGCTTGTCACCAATAGTATAAGTTAGGTATGACTGCATCTATATCCCTACATCTTCCTATAGCTTTAGTTTTTTAAGCAAAAATAAATAAATAAATAAATAAAAACACCATAGTTTAAGTAAAATATTTCACTCTGGTTTAAATATAAAAGCTTAATTGGTTATAAAAATTAACATATTTTCATGCAACTTGGAAATTCTTAGATTGAAAGGAAGCTACCAGGTTAATTTACTTCTCAAATTATTTCTCAATATAAACTATTTGTAAAAGAAGAAAACTTATATTCATACCCAGAGAAAGTATAGCTGTTAAAAAGCATGCTCATTACCCCAGTGGTTTCTAGTCTGACACAGAAAATTCAGACTCGTACCCCTGGAAGTTCATTGATTTGACTTTGTTTTTTAATTCCTAAAAATTCATAGTTATAGCCCTGAAATAAATTACACAGTGGTTCATTTCACAAAGATCTTGTGCTAAACCTTCCTTCTGGTCAGTAGTTAAAGTATTATTGATACAAATTAGAGCAAAGGACAGGACAGCATAATATCAATGCTATCAGTATAAGCCATACTTGGGTATGGAACATGCAGTTGTCATGTGTGAAGACTGCCTTGGGTGTGACAGTTGAAACAAAGGTTCTTTTTGTGGTAGACTTTTATTTGTATTTACAATGTAGTTCATATAGGTTTTATTTCTTTGTAAGCAGGTAAACAGCTGATATGAAAATGTTAATATCTATTCTGAGCACTCATTATTATACACTTGATATTTTATGTTATCAACATCTTATTTTCCTGCTAAGTGCACACTGTACAATATAGTAAGAAGCTCCTGATAAAACAAGAAGATAAGAGAGGTGACAAGAATGGCCTGCCACATAGGAAAGCTAAAACCACATGTGCTTTCTGTCAGTATAAGCAAAACATGTTCATGAAGCATGCAGCAGTCCTATGTAAAGACCAAGTTGGATGTGACAATTGAAGCAAAACTTATTTTTGTTATAGAGTTCTATTGGTATTTTCATTGCAGTTCAGATAGGAATTTATTTCTGATGTTATTTTTTAGGTTTTGTAAGGAGGTACGCAGCTAATGTGAAAATGTTATTTATTCTAAATGTAGGATACATATTAAAAATTTAGTAGTCTATTTTATTGATATTTTATGTTCCTGTTAACTACACATTGTATAATAAATAAGAACCTCTTAACAAAACAGCAAGACCAGCAAGATGTCAAGTATGTCCTAGAAAAAGCACAGGAAAGCAAAATACATGCACTGTCAGTGTAAGTGATACATGTGTATGGAATGTGTTGTCAGATGGAAAGCCTGTGTGATAACAGTAAAGATTTTTTGTAGAGTTCTATTGGTAATTTTATTGTAGTTCATATGGAAATTTATTTCTGTTTTTTCTTAAACTTTGTACACCAAAAAAGTTGATGTTGAAAATTTTGAAGGTTTTTTATAAACAATATTAAAATTTCAATATTTCATTTTTTGATATTTTTTCCTGCTAAGTACTCATTGTTTACTATAATAAAACTCCTAAAATTAAAATTAATAATTTATCAATAGAAATATTCTAAAGAATAAATGTGGGAATTATATACCACAATAATGAATTTTATGACAAAATCGATGTTAGATCCTGAAGACTACTGGAAACAGCACCAAAACACAAACCTGGAAATATCTCTCAGAAGACACCAGAAAATCCTTGCCCACCCCAACTGATCTAGCACAGCTATAAACGAAGAAGATCTCCAAGGCATTTACTTACCCAGCAGGGTAGGCAACTAACCCTGAGCGAGGATCACAGGCAAGTCCTCTGCCTCCAGACACTGTTATTCCCAGCACCTTCTCCAAGGTTACCTGTTAGAGCAAGGCAGAGATGTGACCTGTTATAGACGGAGGCAATTTGGGAGGGGTGCTGTAAGCACCTAGGACTATCCTGTAGCCTTGCTTTTTTGATACCTTTGTCTTCAGGAGAACAAGAGCCTTCTTCAGCTCCATTCTGCCCACAGGCCTCTTCATCACATGGAAAAATGCCAGTGTGTATCACTTGCATTTAATGGGGCTCAGGTTGCTGGTACCAACTGGTTACAGCACAGCTCATGGCCCAGAGAACAAGCATTCCTTCAACCCAGGAAGCCCCAGTTTACAGCTGGGGTTTTGAGCCCCCAGGTCTATGAGACTCAGGGAAGGTTAATGATCCTTGTGCCTTGGCAGACATGAAGGAGAGGCCGCTGGGATCTACTAAGAGCCAAAAGAATGCTAGGTATCAATTAGGTGACTCATAATATTCCTGACATTTGTATTCCATCATGTTCTTCCCCCCATCAGAGGACTCCACCTCCCAAATGTCTGCCAGTTTATATAGACTTTGCACCTAAGAGGCAAAAGTATGGTTTAATAGTGTGTTTTGCAAAACACAGATGCTCCCAGTATGCTAATTATTATTATTAAGCCACAACTCCCACAGGGATGAAAGAGAAACATTTGTAAAGTGCTCACAGATCCTGAGAGGACATGGCCACACGAGACAGGACATTTATCACTCTCACTGTCAGTACTGTTGCCTCACACTGCCTGCAGCCCCTAAGACTCACTCTGGGCTAACTTCAATTCAGTTCATGGTCTTTCTGCTAGATGATGCAACGTAAGATCCAGACTGTACTGTGATCTCCCGCTGGTCACTCCATGCTGGCCTCCGGCTGTGTTACACAATGTCTTGCTGGTCCCTCCAGGCCCAGTTTCATCCCATACTGTCTGCACTTCTTCCACCAGCCCTCCTCAGGTATGTGCTGGCTTCCCTGGGCTCAGAGAGAGGAGCTTTTGAATGCAAAAGGGCTATGGACACCGTACTCCGTTATGAAACCCTGACCCTGAGGAGTCTCAGAGGCCCCAGGGGGGCAAAATGAGCAAGAGAAACTTAAGGGGTGGTCATACTTGTGGCAGAGTAGAATCTCCTAGTCCAAGCTAGTTTCTACAGAGGAGAAGCCCAGAATCACTTTGGATAGTTTTAGGATCTCTCCTCTCTTACTGTCCCAACTGGCTAATTAAAGTACTCTTAGAGAGCCTGTTTAAATTCTTATCTCCAAGGATCATTTCAGCTTGAAGTAGGTTAGAAATAAGTATTCTGTGATGGCACTGCGTCTTCCAAAATGGTACAGTTAAAAGTTATTCCCCAGAGACATCTCCAAGCGTCTTCTGTACTCCTTGGGTATGTGGTCCAGGAATTCCAATATGTGTCTATGCATTCATAGAGGCGGTTTACTTACAGGGCACCAATCCACAGCCACCTGGAAAGCACCAAATTTGCCAGGTATCCCTGAACTTAGCTGGCACTAAAGTTAATGAGGAATAAACTAACTTTAGCCTATCTTAGCCCATTAATGCATTTTTCCCACAGTACTGGGGATCAAACAAAGGGCCACACATGTGCTAAGCAAGTGCTCCTCCAATGAGTGATATTCCCCGCCCTTTTTTGTTTTTACTTTGAGACAGGGTCTTTCTAAGTTTTCCATCCTTGCCTCAAATGTGTGATCCTCCTTCCTCAGCTTCCCAAGTAGCTGGGATTATAGGCATGCACCACTGTGGCTAGCTCCTAGACATTCTTTATAGTTTGTCTTACCTTAGGCCTCCTTCCACTCTTTTCTCAGCTTAATGATCCCCGGGCATCCAATAACCTGGGACTGATTTGGGAGCACAAGATCATCCTGGGGAAGTCTGGGAACACTCATCTTGGGAATGGGACTTTAATTACCGCAGAGGGAAGGGCACTCTAGAATTCCTGCTGCCTACTGCAGAGGACAGAGAGGAACCCAAGGCCAACCCGACCCACAAAGGTGGCAGAGGTCACAAAATCAAGTGCAGTGAGCTAACAACTCACTGCAACTACTATTCTCTTCATACTAATCTGATTTAAGGCAAAGCCCTTGAATTCAAATTTGCATCAATCCCTTTCCTCCCTATGTGTCAGGGCTAGTCCCAAAGAATAAGACCAAGCCTGCCGATTCTCAACTGCCCTTCCTTCTGATGGCAATTTGGGTAGCTGTTTAGAGGGTAGATGACTGAGTTTATAGAGATTCGATTCCAAAGCCAACTTGTACTTTTCAACAGTAATCTAAAGAAGGAAGAAGATATGGGTTACTCAGACCCTGAAGACCAGGGTTTATCAAAATTTCAGACTATGAATTATGGTAAGAAAGAGCTTCACAGAATAACACTTTATTATATGTGATGTAGTCTAGTATATCCCATTTTGTTAAAAGTAATTCTGGTCATGACCTTTTACTGACCTCATGATATGCAAACTGGCTGCAAGACCTGCTTTGGCAAACTATTTCTTTCTGCGCCAGACTCTCTTCTACACTTGAGTAACAGGGTCTGGTCACGGACACCTGTGTGTTCTTCAGTCACTTTCCGCCTGGAACTCTGTACAGAGGAACACACTTCCAGACTAGGGAAACCCCACAGACAGGATCCTGTTTGGGTTCCAAACTTGACTTATTTTCAAAGGACTGACGGTTGGGACTTTTTCTGGCTTTTGAAACAGCCACCCAAGGAAGGAAAAAAAGTTTCCTTTGGCTCTGTGGAGGGGGAGGAGTAGGGGAAAACATTCAGGGGCATCAGCTGGTTTTTATTTTATGTTCTTAAGGCAAACCAGCTTCCTGTTTGCATGGAGTTTTGGGGCAGAGCTCAACTTTCAAAGGACATGAGAGTCCAGAGCTCCTGTGCAGCCTCTAGCATTTACGCTGATTTTGCAAGACTCCAACACAATGGTCTTCATAAACTGACTCCCTCTTTGATAATCTTGCCCTTCCCTGCTTTTTGCAAGATAGTAGTAAAGCTTCCACCTGCCCTAGGAAATGGAGACAAACCTGGATACACCCTTGAAACCCTGCAGGCTAAATGCACTCAGGTTCCACCAGCCGCTTGCAGGAGTTAGCTTATACCAGCTCAGGAACAGACTGTGCACCAGAGTGCCAACACTGTACCAGTGACGACACATGGTAGCCTTGAAATCACCAGCGTGGCAGACCTCATACCATTTCCTCCCCACTCAAAGCCCTGGTGCACCACTGAGTTCCACACACGATCATCTCTCACTTGGCCTGCAGCTGTACGGTAAGTGTTCTCCGTGCTTCAGGCCTCACCCTCCACAGTCCTTTGCAACGCGGCAGGTCAGAGTGATTCTCTTCAAATATAAATGAAATAATTTCATTATTCTGCTCAAAACTCTCCAATGGTTTCACATCTCACTTAAGTTCAAATCCACTTATCTGACCCAGATTTACAAGGCCCTGTATCATATGGCCTCTGGCCATCCTTTTGACCTCATTTTTTTACTCCCCATTCACTCCACCCCAGCCATCCTAGCAATCTCCAGGGCCTTAGGCATACTCTAGTCCTTTGCATACGCTATTCTTTGGACTAAACAGCTCTTCCCTCAGCTATCACAGAGCTTATACTTTTGTCTTTGCTCAAAGCTCTCATTGGAGAGGGCTCTCTAGCTTGACTGCAATCATTCTGTGACTTACTCAGTTTCTTTTCTTTCTTTTTCTTTCTTTCTTTCTTTCTTTCTTCATGTCTTTGCTCAAAGCTCTCCTTGAGGAGGGCTCTCTAGCTTGACTGCAATCATTCTAATCTGACTTACTCAGTTTATTTATTTATTTATTTATTTATTTATTTATTTATTTAGAGTCAGGGTCTTGCTATATACCTAAGCCTGGCCTCAAACTTCCAGTGATCCTCTTGCCTCAGCCTCCCAAGTGTATCATCCCAGGTTTGCACTGCCATACCCAGCTGTACCCAGCTTCACAGTACATAGAGGCAGTAGTTGACACTGATCTTACCTCTGTCCAGGTACTTCCTGTCTGTCATCCCCATCAAATGGGAGCACCTTGAAGAGAGGACCAAGGTAACTATCCCTCACTGATGTACCACCAGCACTTGGAAGAGTCTGGCATACATGGGACACTTGATACAAAGTGATGAATAAATGAATGCCTGGGAGAGGTTTCAGGAATAGTGGAAGACCAGACTTTACAGTAAAGCCCAGGACAATGGGGGTATTTCAGGCCAACAGAGCTGTTCTCCATAAAGTATCTAAAATGCTTATGGCAGAATGGCCATATTCAGCTGAGGACAAGCAAAAAGGGAGCCTAAAAGTACAGGTAACATTTTCTTAAACTTATGGTAGGTTCACAATTATTCACTCTATTATTTCATAAGTCTTAAATATTGCATAATATTTTAGTATATGTGCAGCCAAAGCAAGCACAATATTGCATAATGAAAGTTTAAAAAAGAAAGGAAAGATGGTCAAGAGTGTGGCATAGGGTTGAGGACATTAGGAGCAACATCCTGTAATTCCGGTCCCTGGATTTCTGTCTTCAAGTGTTTTTTGTTGACACTAACCTGACCCACCAATGTGGGGTGAGGGGAGTCCAAATAACTGAAGAACTCATGTCATTTTATTTAATGTCACATTACTTATGTAATGTTCTGATGTGACACTTTTTTGAGGACAGGGGATACCAGGGCCTGGCTCATGCAAAGCATGTGCTCTACTACTGAGCTACATCCTCAGCCCTTCATAAATTTTTTTTTTTAACTTTTGAGGCAGGGTCTCACAATATTGCCTAGGCTGGGCTTGAACTCCCAATTCTATTGCCTCTGTCACTTGAGTAGCTGGGATTGCAGGCATGAGCCACTGTGTACGGCTGACGCGTCCCTTTTTTTTTTTTTTTTGGTTTTTCTCCGGTACCGGGAACCGAACTCACGACCTTGCGCTTGCCAGGCAGGCGCTTTTGCCGCTGAGCTAAATCCCCAGCCCCCAAACTATACTATCATGTTTTCACTTCTAG